TCACACCTTGGGTTTGACTATATTTTAGAGTTTTCAAGGTACATCATCCACATTTAGCCTCAGAGATTCTCATTCTAGTACTGTAAGTTGGGAAGGGACCTATTTTTAGACATTTTGTAGATGAAATATATCTCTGTAGAAAATAGTTCTGAGGGGTATTTTAGAAAAGGATTGAGGTTTTGCTTATTTATAAAGAAAAAACTGGAAAAACAGTAATATTTCTGGTATGGGCTTGCAGAAAAAAATACTTCACTAACATGGTAAGTTAACCCTTTTGCTTCTACTAGAATATTTATGAATCTACTAGAATATTATGAATATCTTTTTCTTTTTCTTTCTTTTTAGAGATAGGATTTTGTTCTGTTGCCCAGGCTGGAATGCAGTGGTGTGATCACAGCTCAGTGCAGCCTCAAACTCCTGGGTTCAAGCGATCCTCCTGCCTAAGCCTCTCAAGAGTAGCTGAGACTACAGGCACACACCACCATGCCCGGCTAATTTTTTACATTTTCTGTAGAGATAGGTCCACTATGTTGCCTAGGCTGATTTTGAACCCCTGGCCTCAAGTGATCCTCCCACCTCAGCCTCCTAAAGTGTTGAGATTACAGGCATGAGCCACCACACCCAGCCATGCGTTTCTTTATGTTTAACAAACTGTGTTGGTTGGCCTTTTTAAAGAAACTGAAATGCTGTAGTTGAAAAACAGAGATCACGGTAACATCACAGGTAATGGTTAGTCAACTCCAAAACTCCAAAAAGGATCACAAACTCCAAAAAGTTTGAAATGTTCATTTAATTAATCTTCACAATTCCTAGCACGCTATGGCTGAGAACTCTAGAAGTGTTTTTGGTGGTGATGTGCAAAGAATACAAAATATATGCTGTGGTCTGCACTTCTAGTTTCATGTTTGGTTGTTTAATCAGGGACCTCAATCTTGACCAGAAATTCTAAGAAGAGTTTGCCACTGGGTTCCTGGTGGAGAATAGGAGGCCCATAAATTTCAAACATGCTTCTGCAATGCAAAATCCTGTTCAATTACTATAAATGTATTTAGTGATAAAGGAAGAATGTGGTGTATATATGACCAGTTCTTAGTCCTTTGTAAGAAGGAAAAGAAGCATCTCAAACAAGATGGTCAGTTCTCATCTTTTAGAACTGCCCAAGATGGAGTAAAGTAGTTAGACTTACCTCACAGCTGTAACAAACAAAAGAGAAAATGCAAACAAAATATATGAAATAACAACTTTTAAGACACTGGACATTAGGAAATGAAATACAGTAATCTTTAGAGAAGGGAAACAGATGAACGCTACAAGTGCTCCGGCTTATAGCCTTGAGTGCTCTCAGGCCATGGTACAAGAAGAGGGCAATGAGGAGGAGCCCATTGAGCTCCTGGAGCTGAGGAGTCAGAGCTGAGAGAACAGGAGGACCAAGACAGTGAGAGCTGACAGAGTGGGATACCAGAGGGGGATAACTGCACAGAGAGTAAACCCCAGAGGTCTGCAGAGGGTCTGCCTGGGTTATTCAGAAGAGTATTGACAGCACGTGCATGTTAAGGAATTACCTGAGACCAGGGAAAGAACCCTCTTAAAATAGTGCCATTTACTCAACAGGATTAGGAATCATGTTTTTTTCCCACCAGCAAGACTGGAAAAGAATATAATTCACATAGTAATGGGGAGAAAACTTAGGAAGGTCTTGGCTCAGCAATAGGAAATAATTAGCCCTGAATTAACCACTGCTTTAGGCTCACCTAGCGAATCATAACAGCAAGATCCAAAAGGATCAAACTCTTTCCATGTATCTTAACTGCCTTCCAGAACTAAGCACATGGATATTTACAAGAATACAAAAGTATTTCACACCTAACAAGGAAAATTTCACAATGTCTCTCATAAGAAGCAGAAATGCACAAAACATAATGAAGAGTATAATCACTCAAAAACAAACCACAACAGACATAGATGTTAGAATTAGCAAAGATATCAAAACAGTCATTGTAACAGTATTCAATATGTTAAAAAGTTAAGTGGAAACATGAAAGGTATAAAAAGATTCCAATAGAATTTGCAGGGTCAAAAACCATTGTGTCTGAGATGAACCATACACTGAATGGGATAATGGAAGATTAGATTTGGCAAAACAAAAAGATTGGCAAACTTGAAAACATAGCAATAGAAATTCTCCGAAATAAAACATGAAGGAAAAAATATTAAAAAAATGAAAAGAATATTAGTTTCAGGATCTTCTCCCAATCATTGATTAAAAAAAAAAAAAAAAAAAGAAAAAATCAGCAGGAATATAGTAGACTTGAGCAACACTGTCAACTAATTTGGCCGAACTGACATTTGTAGAACACTCCACCAACAGTAGAATATATAATCTTTTCAAATGCACATGAAACATTTACCAAGATAGACTATGTTGTGGACCATAAAACAATGCTCAACATTTTAAAGGATTCAAGTGATAGCAAATGTGTTCTCTGACCGAAACAGAATTAAATTATAAATCAATAGCAGAAAGATCTTTGAAAACTCCCTAAGTGTTTGGAAACTAAATAAAGCACTTTTAAATAGTCTGTGGTCAAAGAATAAATAAAAGGGACATTAGAAAGTATAATATTTGGAAATAAAATAAAATCAATATGCCAGAATCTGAGGTTCCATTTAAGCAGTACTTAGGAGGAAATAAATAGCATTAAATGCCTATATTGACAAAAAAGAAATGTTTCAAATCAATGATCACAACTTCTACCTTAAGAAATCAGAGAAAGAAGAACCAGATAAACCCAAGGCAAGTGGAAGAAAGAAAATAATAAAAATGAAGTGGAATTCAGTGAAATTGAAAAAAGAGAAACAATAAAGTCAATAAACCCAAAAGTTGTTTCTTTGAGAATATCAATAAAATTGATAAATCTATAATCAAACTCACCAGGAAGAAAGAGAAGACACAACTTCCCAATATCAGAAATGAGAAGGGAGATGTATTCCAAGGATATTAAAAGGATAACCAGGGAATATTATGAACAATCTTTTGTGTATAAGTCAGCTTAGGTAAAATACACAAATTTCTCGCAATGTATAAACTACCAAAGCTTACTCAAGAAGAAGTAACCTAAGTAGCCTTATACCTATTAATGAGATTGAATTTGTAGTTCAAATCTTCCCATAAAGAAAACTCCAGGTATAGATGATTTCACTGGTAAATTCAACTAAAAATTTAAGGAAGAACTAATACCAATTCTATGAAAACTCTTCCAGAACATTAAAGAAAAGGGAATATTTCACAACTCACTTATTTCATTTTATTATTTTTAATTTTTATGAATACATAATAGTTGTATATATTTTTGGGGTACATGTTATATTTTGATAGAAGCATTCAATGTGTAATGATCAAATCTGGATACCTGGGATATCTGTGAATAAAATGGTGGTTAACAGAAGCTAGGAAGGCTAATAGGGAGGCGGAAATAAAGAAGTGCTGGTTAATGGGCACAAAATACTTATTAGAAGGCATAAGATCTAGTGTTCTCATGGTTAACAATAATTTATTATATACTTTAAAGTTAACACCAGTTAACAATAATTTATTGCATATTTCAGAATAACTAGAAAAGTAGATTTGGAATGTTCCCAACTCATTTTTTGAGGCCAGATTACCCTGATACCAAACCCAGACAAAGACATTACATGAAAGGGAAACTACCGACCAACTACAGAACATCGTTCATACGGATGTGAACATAGATGCAAAATTCTAAAGAAAATTTTAGCAAGTTAAATCCAACAATAGATTTTAAAAGAGATAATATGGAATTTATACTGGAAGGCAGGGCCCATTTAACCATCAAACATTATCTAATAAAGCATTTTCACAGTTAATAACTTCACCCATGGTGGTGGGGTATTTTTTTGACATTTTATTTCTATATTAGGTTTATAGTATTAATAAAGGTTGACTCATTTGTTGTTGTGAGAATTAAAATAATGTAAAAGTATCTAATAAAGGGTTGAGTAGAAATGGAGATCAATGCATTTCTGCCAGTTAAAAATCTACTTTTTCTTGATTAGGTTCACAAATTCCCTTCTTTCATAAAACCAAAGAACATTGGCCATCTACTTCCTGTCTTTCCGAGCTGGCATTTCCTGTTGCTGCCTCACCAATCAGCCATCATTCATATGATTGTAGACAGGCTTCATGATCCCTAAGGCTTAGAGCAGAGCTACTTGAAGTGCTGGTCTGCAGCAAGATAAGAAGCTTGTCTCAATATAAATCAAGACAATGTTTTCTTCAAAGAGAAAGTCTTGCTATGAAAATAAATAAATAAATAAATGTCAGCTGAACTAATCAGTGTGCTTAGTAATATAGTTGACTTACATCATGGTGCAAACTCCTTACCTTAAAGTGGGCTGATGAACTGTTTGCAGGCACTTTGAGTACCAGCTTCTTAGAGTATGTCATATCTCACACAGCATTTAGATTCCAAAGTCAGCACTTGTTTATACTTGCTCTCATGACTTTGCTGTATGATATATATTTTTAATACATATATAAAGGTTTTTGTGCTTGTGCCACCAATTAATGTAACTTTAGTATCTATACTTTCTCTTGAGGTCATTATATATAATTAAATTTCATGCAAATGTGTACTCCAAATTTTTTAGTCATGTGGAGTACATTAAAAATGAATGTTTCTCATCTTGCATATTAAAATCGCTGGAGGATAAATCAATCCTTTCACAAAGATCTGAGATAGGATAGCAAATGGGTTTTTTCTTATGTGACAATATGTGTTAAATGGTAATGGCTCTGCATGTGCTATGTGGGTACAGATTTGGAGGGTGCATCTGGGAACAAGCAATGTGATTATTGATGTCTGCCATGAGTATGGAAATGAAGCATGGTAATACCCTCATGCTATGTATTTGCCATCTATGACTAGGAGCTCCAAACTTATCTTTAATTAAAAAGAATGACTTTAGTTATTCTATTGCAGGACATGAAAATTATGGCAGAAAAGAAGAATCAGATCATACTAATGAACCTGGAGATGTCTCTCTTCAAGAATATTACATGGATGTGGCTTTCCTTATAGATGCTTCCCAAAGAGTAGGAAGTGATGAGTTTAAGGAAGTAAAAGCTTTTATAACCTCAGTGCTTGATTACTTTCACATCGCCCCCGATCCACTGACCTCCACCTTAGGAGACAGGGTTGCTGTTCTGAGCTACTCTCCCCCAGGCTATATGCCTAACACTGAAGATTGCCCTGTCTACCTGGAATTTGATTTGGTTACTTATAACAGTATACACCAAATGAAACATCATCTCCAAGACTCTCAACAGCTCAATGGAGATGTTTTTATTGGCCATGCCTTGCAGTGGACAATTGACAATGTCTTTGTAGGAACCCCCAATCTGAGGAAAAACAAAGTTATCTTTGTGGTATCTGCTGGTGAAACCAACCCTTTAGACAAAGAAGTCTTAAGGAACGTGTCTCTGAGAGCCAAGTGTCAAGGCTACTCCATATTTGTGTTTTCCTTTGGCCCTAAACACAATGACAAAGAATTGGAAGAATTAGCCAGCCACCCTCTGGATCATCACTTGGTCCAACTTGGCCGAACCCACAAGCCAGATTGGAACTATATCATCAAGTTTGTCAAGCCATTTGTCCATTTAATCAGACGTAAGTCATTAATTCTCTGATTGCTTTTGCGATAGATTTAATGTTTCTGTGTACAATCCATCAGCAGACTTAGAAAATGATCCTCACTTCAGTTGGGGGTGGTAGAGTATAAGTGAGTAGGAGGCAGTAAAAAATCTCAGAGAAAATTCCCAGATTTTTTGACCATGAGCCTTGCTGCTGCACTGCCAAAGTTTTAGCCAGGAAATCCTCAAATGGATGAAAAGTGCCCTTTAGCCCTAACCTGTGAGTGTTTACTATGTCTCAGGTTCTGTAAATTGATTGTGTCATTTAATCTTCAGTGCAGTCCTCAGAGGAAGGTATTTATAACCCCATTTTGTAAGTGAAAAAACTGAGATTCAGAAATGTTAAATAAACTGCTTAAAATCTCACAAGTAATAATTAGTAAATTCTAGACTCAACCCCTCACATTCTGACCCCAGGGCTATGCTCTTGTCTCGTAAATCATACTTTAATTACTAAACCCTTAGCAAGGTGTACTGCTGTAATAAATAATATCGCAGTGACACTGCCCTCCACCTACTCCAAGGACTTCTATTTTGTCTTGTCATTATAAATTAACCTTAGTTCTGACTTGAATTCTTATGAGCCATAGGGACAAATCTCCTCTAAAGCCTCTATTCCAGACAGCTGGCAGGGATTTTTAAGGGTGTCTTTACACAGTGGGGTTTTAAGGGTGGCTGGCCCAGCCTCTGCCCATGTGTTGTGACTTTAGACAAGCATATAGCAGCACATCCAAAACCTTGTAACATCAAACAAATCGTAGCTTGTGCTGGGAATTAGGAATGTGGCAGAGGTTACATTGAATGGTCTCTGCAGCTACTCCAAGTTTACTAGAGAATCACAAGGATGCGGGTTTTCTGGAATGCATAAAGCCCCAGGGCTTGCATAGTTCTCAGGAATCTTGGAATTTAGCGGTTATATTTAGTAGCAAGTAAAAATGTGGCTTCTCCCAACCCCAAGATAAATAGGGCAGACAATTTCAATAGCTAATAGAGTCTTCTCCCAGAACTTAAAATGTAATTTCAAAAAATAAAAATTAAATAATTTTTTTAAAAAATAAGAGTCTTCTAGAAAGATCTTCCTTTTATAGGGAGAGAAACAAATGATAGGAAGAATTTAGAGATGTCCTTAAATTATATCACAAATTTGTGATAGAGCATTGGAATTCTTTATTCAATGACTGGCTGTATCTTCTTGACTCTGCCAAGAACAAACAATTTCCATATTAGAGTGTGCCTATTTTGCCAAGTCCGTTACAAAAGTTGTTCTTGAAAACACTGCCAACCATATGAAAAGATGAACTGACTTTGGGTGAGATAATAATGTAGATGGGTAAAATTTAGACTAACCAGCCCACTCTCTCTCCAGGTGCCATCAACAAATATCCCACCAAAGATATGAAAGCCACATGTGTTAACATGACCTCTCCCAACCCAGAGAACGGTGGCACAGAAAACACTGTATTGTGAGTTGAGAAATTCCAAGTTTGCATCATACCACAACTGGAAACAGTCCTTAAGAAAACTGTGAAATGAACAGCATTTTAGTTTTCAAGATCCAAGTGTGTGTGTGTGTGTGTTTTAAATGCTACTCGTTTGTGATGATAGCACAGGTCTGAAATTAATCACAGATAGAACAGGACTTATATTTGAAAGAACTATGTTTCCATTTCTGTTTGTTTTACCAAAAATGCCTCCTATTAGTACCTTCTCAGTAACTAGATAACATAACTCTAATATTGGTTACTGCCAAAACAGAAAACTTACATCAAAGATTCCTTGTAACAATTTTAGAGCAGAATAAAAAGATAAAAAACAAAACACGACATTTGGCCATTTAGAAAACAAAACACATATGAGGATTGGCAGGAAGGATTCTTTCAAGTTTGATTTTACAAAGTACAACCCTAAGTACTCAATAAAAATTTAATGATAGAAATTATATTGGTTTGGAATTCTAAACTGCAGAGACAAATGTCTAATTTCCCTTCAGAATATTAGAAAATTGCACAAGTCGGCTGGGCGTGGTGGCCCAAGCCTGTAATCCCAGCACTTTGGGAGGCCGAGATGGGCGGATCACGAGGTCAGGAGATCGAGACCATCCTGGCTAACACGTTGAATACCCCATCTCTACTAAAAAAAAAATACAAAAAACAGCGCGGCACATGTGGGCGCCTGAGTCCTAGCTACTCCGGAGGCCTGAGGTAGGAGAATGGTGTAAGCTCGGGAGGCGGAGCTTGCAGTGAGCTGAGATCTGGCCACTGCACTCCAGCCTGGGCGACAGAGCCAGATTCTGTCTCAAAAAAAAAAAAAAAAAATTGCACAAGTCAAATTTTATTCGTGAACTGCACTTGGACTATTCCAATCACATACATAAAATGGGTTCCTCTTATATTATCTGGTGGTATTCACATTTAATCTTTCAGGGGACTTGGCTAACTAATTTTTTATCTCTCTTCTCTATTACTTCAGACTTATTCCTGGGATATATGAAATAAAGACAGAAAATGGTGAGCTGTTTGATGAATTTGATTCCCAGGTGCAACATTTCCTTGTATTAGGGAACAATCACAGTAATGGTTCTGGGACAGCTACTGATTTGATGCAGAAGTTATACCTGCTCTTTTCAACTGAGAAATTGGCAATGAAAGACAAGGAAAAAGCACATTTAGAAGAAATTTCAGCTCTAGTGGTTGATAAACAGCAAGAAAAAGAAGGTAATCTTGAGTACCATAGAGTTGAAGACCCTCAAGTACCTTTGTTTGGATTTTCCCCTGGTGGAAGATGAGCAGTTAGAGTTCACTAGGAGAGGCAGAGATGACAGGATGAGGATAAAAGAGGGGCTTATCATCTAAGGATCCAAGGGAGATAAAACTTCAGAAAGGCAAAAAATAGTCTTTGTTGACATATTCAGAATTACAAGCAGGTATAAATGCTTGGTGTGGAGTCAGGAAATTGGGAAGTGGGAGGGACAAGAACAAGGACAGCAGGTCCCAAGTAAGCAGGAGCAGCCCTGCATCTTTGTCCAAGATCGGGGTGAGGGGGAACTGTGCAAGGAGCCTCCAGAGTTTTAATACTCGATATCTGCTCTCTCCTTTAGCAACTAGAGCTTTTTTGGTTTGAGATGGAGGCCCCTAGCTGAGCCTCAGCCTCAGTGGGACATGGAGAGGACAAGGTCACCATGGTTCTGAGATCTGTGTGGAGACTGTGGGCAGCTTTATAGGCTGGGTGGGGAAATGGACCTACAGCTAAAAGCAAAATAGGAGATGGACAGCAGGAAGCTATTGGCTCTACAGCACTGATTCACAGTCCTTTCTGTGTCCCAGCGTCATGTGGGAAATGATTTTAAAATAAATATTCCTGGGTATCTACTAAAGCTGAAAATATGTATGTTCAATGACCCAGCAATTTTACTTCATTGTATATACCCAATAGAAATATACATATTAACCAAAAATCATGTAGTAAAATGTTTATAAAAGCGGAATAAAAAAATAAATTTTGGGATATTTATATAATAAAATCCCATACGGGGGCATGTATGTATACTTCAAAAAAGTTTTTATATATATATGTAAACACATTTATAAATATAGATATAGTTAAAGCTCTAGATATATATATACACACACACACATAAACATGTATAGTTTTAGATATGGGTATAATTATAGGTATATCTATATGTAGAGAGAACAAAATCAGCAAAATGATGGAAAATAAGAGAAGTGAATATAGAGAAAATAGGAAAAATACAGACACACAGAGAGAGAAGATAGATATAATAAAATAAAAATTAAATATAAGTATATTGAAATATCTGGTTCTCATCAAAATGGAATAAGTTCATTTTTGTTTCAAAATGGAATAAGCCCATATCACTTTTCCACTGATTACAACAGAAAATTCTGGATGAAATACAAAAAGCAACTACCTGAGGACTCTGAAAAGTAAGCAAAAGCACGTATATTGTGAAGGGGCATGAGTTTCTCATTTTCTTTTCTCTTTTCTTTTGAGGCTTTATGCCGAGGGCAAGTCCAAGTACAGGAACTGTGTGGCAGTGAAGTAGATGGCTGAACCTCCTTAGAAACCCCATCTTTTTGGCCAGAAGAACTAGGAAAAAAGAGGCCCTCTGCATTAAAGACGTCCTACTTTTTTTCCCCTTTTCTCTCATGGGTTTGCCTTAAAGGCAGGCATCAGTTGGCAGCTAAGTGGAAAGCTAGACACTTAAAATTAAAGAGAAACCCTTTCTTTCTTGCTGAAGGCTGAAAGAGTGAGGGTTGTGATCAACTCAGTATACCACTGGAGGCTATTTGAGTAAACAGCAAACTGTTCTCATAAATGCAGAATGTTGGCAAACTGACCCACTGCATATGCCACCCAGAAGGAATGCTGAGGGCAGTCATGCCCCAAAAGCAAGTGTTTCTGTAATTAGGTACATCTGAAGCCTGTTAGTAATGATATGAACCTGCGATCAATTAAGCAGCTGTCCCATCATTGCCTCTTCCTCTCTGCTCTTGCTACTCAATAAATACAAAGGGCAGTGGAATCTCAGGGACTGACTTTGCTCACTAGAAGCAGGGAGCTCTCTTCTTCCCTTGTTCCCCTTCCTTTAAAAGTTTCTTTTGTCTTAAGTTTTCATTTCTACGTTTGTCCCTTTGTTCAGTCTCATAATTATGGTCTCAAGCAGTAACAGTAGGAACTTGTAATGACGGTCTCAAGTAGTAACAGCAGTAACTGTCGTAGTGATGGTCTCAAGTAGTTCTGGCCAGAGAAACTGGAAAAGAAGACCTCGTGGGCCAGCATGTGTGAGTAACCTTAGAGAGAAGAGAGCTGAACAAAGGAACACTCTACTTGTAGTTAGGGGACCTATATAAGTCTCAGGCTCTTCCCTAAACTGTACATGGATAAGAAAGACCCAGAAAGGATAGCAAAGGCGCTAGAAACTAAACTGTGACTGTTACTCACAGATAATCAGACAGCACTTGCATGCTGAACCTGAGATGATTGCCTGCTAAAACAAAAATATTCCACAGAGAATCATAACAGTACTTAGAGTCTAAACAACATAATATTCAAAATGTTCAGGATATAATCCAAAATTATGCAACATACAGAGAACCAGGAGATGTGAACAATTCTTAAAAAAAAAAAAAGACAACCAACAAATGCCAACCTCAAGGTGACTCTAATGTTGCAATGATCAAAGACATTAAAGTAGCTATTATAAATATGCTCTATGAGGTAAAGGTAAATAACTTTAAATGAATGGAAAGATAGACATTTTCAAGCAGAGAAATAGAGATCACAAAAAAGAACCCAAAGGAAATTTTAGAAGTAAAAAATACAATATCTAAAATTTTAAAACATTCACTGGATGAGCTTAATAGCAGAGTGATGATGAGAGAAGAAAGAGTCAGTGAAGGCTGAGTGCAGTGGCTCACACCTGTAATTCTGGCACTTTGGGAAGCTGAGGTGGGCAGATCACTTGAGCCCAGGAGTTTAAGACCAGCCTGGGCAACATGGTGAGACCCCATCTCAACAACAACAGCAAATTAGTCAGATGTGGTGTCTTGCACTTGTACATAGTCCCAGCTACTCAGGTGGCTGAGGTGGAATAATTGCTTGAGCCCCAAAGGTCAAGGCTGTAGTGAGCTATGATCATGCTGCTGCACCCCAGTCTAGGCAACAGAGTAAGACCATGTCTCAAAAAAAAAAAGAAAGAAAAGAAAAGAAAAAGAAAAAGAGTCAATGAACTTGAAGAAAGATTAATTATAGAGTTATACAAACTGAAGAGAGAAAAGATTGAGAAAAAGGCAAACTGAACCTTGGAGACTTGTTGAGTATCAGAATGTCTAACATTTGTTTCACTAGAATTCCATAAGGGAAGTAGAAATATTCATGCCAAAAAAAAAATTTTAGGAAACAATGACCAAAAATTCCCCCAAATTGGTGAATTACCCCTAAATTGTTAAAAGATATAAATTTACAGATTTTAACAGCTAAAAAAAAAACAACAACAACAATTCAGACACATCATAATCAAACTGCTGAAAACCAAGGATAAAGAAAAAAATATTGAAGCAGCTAAGGAAAAACTATGATACAAAATAAGGGAACAACTCAAATGACTGTCGATTTCTCATCAGAAACCACGGAGGCTAGAAGACAGTGGAACAACTTCTTTTTTTTTTTTCTTTAATGTACTGAAAGAAAAGAACTATGGACACAGAATTTTATATCCAATAAATATATCCCTCTCCCTCTGGAATAAAGACAAAATAAAGGTATTCTCAGATGAAGGAAAATTAAGAGAACTTGTCACCAGCAGACCTGTTCTAAAGGAGAAATATGTGACAGCCAGGGAGTTGGAGTGAGGTCAAATGACCGGTGACCCAGTGGGCAGGAGACATACTGGGCAGGTGAAATTAAGGAAGGGACACAAATGAGAAATCAAGTGGGTGGTTGAAAGGGAGGAAAGCTGAGTAAGAGAAAGTGGTGAGAACCAGACACAGATTGCCCATGTGAATAGCTGTACTGTCTGTGAGATAATTTCATACCCATGGTTTCATTGGATTCCCTTAAAAACCCTTTGTGGGAGACAGGAATTAATATCCCTAGTATGCAGATGGAGAAACTGAGACTCAAAGAGGTTTAGTGCCTTGCTAGTGACTCTGTTTTGGTAACTTCTGATTCAGGATGCTTTACAAACATCTGGAGGAAGGAATAAGGGGTAGATCAGAAACAGAAACAGTGGGTTGAAGAGGAGGTGTATTAGTTTGCCTGGACTGCCGTAACAAAGACCATAGACTGGGTGGCTTAAATAACATTGATTTATTTTCTCATGGTTGTGGAGGCTGGAAGACCAAGATCAGGGTGCCAGCCTATAAGGTTCCTGATGAGGGCTCTCTTCCTGGCTTGCAAATAGCTGCCTCCTCTCCTTGTCCTCACATGATAGAAAGAGGATCTTGGTGTCACTTTCTCTTTTTATAAGGGTAACGATTCTGTAAAATCAGGGCTTCACCCTTATGACCTCATTTAACCTTAAATGCCTCCTTAAGGACCCTGTCTTCAATACAGTCACATGGGGTTAGGGCTTCACTATATAAATTTGTGGGCAAGAGACACATTTCAGTTTATAGCAGGGGATATAATTAAAAATTACTCACAGGAAAGAACCCTGTAAATTGGTGGTTCCCAAACTTGTCTGTACATTAGAATCACCTAGTTATTTTTTTAAAAGTCCAAAGTCTTGCCCACACCCCATATCAATTAAGTTACATTAGAGGTAAGACACAGGCATCAGTTATTTTGTTTTTTTGTTTTGTTTTGTTTTTTGAAGCTCTCAGGTGATTTCAATGTGCATTCAAGTTTGCAAAACACTGCTATAAATCCTGGTTGAATCATTCCTGTTAGACAGCTTTACATATCTCAAGGTGATTTGCTGCTGAAAATAGTAAGGTTGGTAGAATCAAAAGGATTATCATCAAGTGTGCATCTTTGTTGTTTGTTATTATTCTTCATTATTTTCTCCAAAAGTTTTCTGCATTTTTCTATTGTAATGATATGTTATACATCTAGAAATAGATGATGTCTTTAATTCTTTTTCTTTCAGATCTGTAGCCAACAGCTTGGGTTAGTTATACTTGGCCAGTCCTGCTCCGTGAAGTCAATCTGAGCCTCTTCAGAAAATATCAGCTTGACTTTTTCTTGCACT